GCCCTCAACCAGCATGTTTTCTAATCAGAAAGTTTCATGCATCAGCTTCCCTAATCTGTATGCCTGTAGGACAAGCATGAGGTAATCAGCCAAACCATGGCATGCCTCATTAAAATAGCAAAATTAGGTTTACGCAATAAATATGTTTGTGGCTGGCCCCATTTTTCTTGGCCTAATGTATCTGGAATGTGTTTTTCACAAAGTAAGTATTCTCGCTCTGACGATGTCTGTTATGATAGGACAGACGAAAGCTTAGCACAGGACGATGAATCGAGGACTTTTCCGCACAACCCAACAGTCCTTACTCGAATGCAGTCTTTCTTGGGATTCCGGAGAGGTCAATTCATGGATTCCTTCTAACCAACTTTTCATTCTAAATGAAATTTCATGTTACGATATTTTTTAAAGTATGCCTTCTCGCTCTGACGATGTCTGCTATGGAGGTGACAAACGTACGATCAGCCCTGATTCATCGGATTTGGAAAACGTTAAAGCGAGGACTTCCCTGCACAAACCATCAATCTTCACAAAAGGGCAATCCTCCTTTGGTCTCTAGTGAGACCAAGTTACAAATGCATTTAAATCAAATTTTTCTTCTGAATGGAAATTCGTGTTACATTAAATCAGTAACTGCCAAGGACTGCAAAGTTTCAAGCAAGCAGTTATATGCTTTTCTCCATATAAGTCTACAAATAAGCCCACAAGTCATGCTATTCTGTGATTGAATGTACAAGATATGTGGAGAAATACTGCCCTCGTAGACAATTCGTGAGGCAAACCTTACTTATTCGCATAAGGCCTTCTTTATACCATGTACTCTGCTGTCTTCTTTGGCTTCAGATAACGTTGAATAACTTAGTCCGAGTTGTTTGAGACATTTTCGCTCATCCCTCCTAGTGACTTATGCCCAGCCGTCTTGCCCATGGACACGTCCCGGTCGGACGTACCGTGCAACACGACAGCGGCTGGTCTTGGAGACTGGCCAGGGGGACTTTTGACAGGAAAGTAAAAAGGGAGAGACAGAGGGATGGAAGGGAGGCTGTATTGAGGAGAGCCGATCGGCTCGGATCCGATGTACCTGGTCATGAATAGCCGACGGTTTGGCAAGAAGGAGGGGCAGCAGAGAGCGCCCTCATTGTACTTGATATTAGACAGAACGAATTAGAATTGGCTTATCTGCTCATGCCTCCATATGCCCGAATTCCCAACCATCTCCTTTCCTCATCCTCTCCAGCCTTCGTCGTTATCTCCTCCTCTGATGTACCCTCTGGTACTTGTGTGATAGTAAA